CCCAGTTCCCTCAGCTGCTCCTCATAAGACTTGTTCTCCAGACCCCTCACCAGCCTCGTTGCCCTTCTCTGGACACGCTCCAGCACCTCAATGTCCTTCTTGTAGTGAGGGGCCCAAAACTGAACACAGTAGTCAAGGTGCGGCCTCACCAGTGCCGAATACAGGGGCATGATGACTTCCCTACTCCTGCTGGCCACACTATTTCTGATACAGGCCAGGATGCCATTGGCCTTCTTGGCCGCCTGGGCACACTGCCGGCTCATGTTCAGCCGGCTGTCGACCAGCACCCCCACCCAGGTCCTTTTCCGACAGGCAAAGGTGGTGTAAGAACAGGCTCTTCTTACTCAACGCTTCTGTACATGTGGTTAAAATCGTATCTGGTGGGGTTTGCTTGTTTGTTTTTATCTGCTGTTGCTTTTTAACCAATGTTAACTGTGTTGTCTCTACAGGAGTCAGAATAAATTAAAATTTTTGTTTTGTTTTTCTTTTCCCCTCAGTAGTCACTGCTCTGCAGTAGTTTTACTGAAGTTGCTGTGTGCCCACAGGGAGGTCTGCATCATTCCTGGTGATGATGCATGAGAAGGAAAAACAGTTGAGAGTTTTAGATCTGCTGAGTTTGAAAACTTGTGAAATATCGTATTGTCTAAAATGTGCACAATTTTTTTTAAGTATCTCATTGAAAGACTAATCATGAAGCCCCAAGAGGGCATGTTTAGTCACTTGATAGAATAGAATAGCATTCAGCATTCACTTAATGAATGAGTCTGGTTGACAGTAAAGTCCCCTCCTCTCCCCCCGCCTTGATTTGAAATATTAAGAAATATTAATATGTATGTATTTTAAAAATAACCACTGGTAATTCATAGTTATGCCTTCTGTGTTACCATTATCTTGAAGAATTTTTCACTTGTGTCCATGATTGCCACTTGCATCTGTTTTGTGTAAGGTGTTCTGAGTTTTGGTAGTGTTTGATGGTGATAAAACAGATTAGCTACGCTTTACAGGAGAGCATTGGGGATTAATTGTCAAATGTTGTGTAGATAAGCTTCTAGGTGCCCAGCAGAAGTAATTGTATGAAGTTCATTGTTTCCAGAATACTTTTCTGTCTAGAAATGTAACTTAAGCTGCACATACTCTTCCTAATATAGGCTGTTATTTTACTTTCTAACAGAGACTCTACAAGTAGGCTTAGTGATTGGAGATGGAAGAAGTTGTTAGCTTTGTAGTTGGAGATCAGTCAAGTGTCAAAATGGTTTCATCCAGTAAGTTCATTGAACTAGGTTCTTGGACAAAAATGACGGGTTATTTCTGTTCTGTTCCCCCCCCCGCCCCCGACATCGCTTTCAGAACTGATACTTCTCAAGGATTGTACTCATCAATGAAGTGGTTTATGTATGTTTGGGTGTGTAATTCACTATTTAAAAAACAAGATTAGAACAGTTCTTTTCTCCTGTGTCTTTAGTTTTTCCTCTGTGGATGTGACTGCTCAGAGGTTTTAATGCCAACATCAAACAGAAATGTATTATTTCAGGTCTAGCTGGCAGTTGATATGTATACCTTCTTCTGCATGTCCACCTTCAAAAAGCTGTACTAAAGGTGCTGTGTTAGATTGTTCGGGGAGGGGAGGAGTTTTAAGGCTGTTTTCTTAAAGTTTCTCAACTAAACTGAGGACCTGATCTGTATTTGTAACAATGACAAAATTCTAAAGGCTAAATGGCAGTGCTCCATAGGGAAAAAAGTCTTCCATGTTGCTTTTCAGTGTGGTTACCAAATGCGTTGTTTCTTTAAATTTTTTTTCTGAAAAATAGTTATGCTGCCACAAAATACAGGCATTTTTAATGTAATTCAGTTTCATGATAATATTCTTAAAGATGAAGGTTGAATTGCTTTGATTAATAATCAAACGTAAAGCCTTCCTGACCATGGCTCTGAACAAGGAAGTAACTCCTAATTCTTTCAGACAACAACATTTCTTGCTGTCATGGCTTCAGGGTATGATCATCTTATCTGACAAAGAGAAGGGGTGTTTGCCTGTTTCATTAACAAAATCAATTAGAGAAACAGTCGAGCAGTGACTTGCTTCTGAAAATGTAATTTAGGCTTCCGAGTCATTTAGATGCTTTTTGAACTTTTAGTAGCCAGATTGCCCATTAATCTCATGATCCGTGGATCACTCTTAACTCTCAGGGATATACATGCATGTCTCCAAGGAGTTCCTTCCCATTTAACACTGGATGCAACAGTAAACTTAACTCCTCCACGTACCCCACTCTCCTTGCATTTTCTTGATGTTTCAGAATTTATCAGCTAAAATTGTGCAATTATCACTCAAAGGATCACATTCTCATAAAAAGAGTTGCATCTCTGGATTTTACTGATGCAAGATCATCTTAGTCATCTGACTATAATTCCCATCTGTGCATCTTTTCATGTTCTTACTGAGATATTTAGAAAGCCAAAAAAAATTATGTGACTAGCCTAGCAGCTGAATCATTGTATTTTATGTTGAATATCAATGCTGGCACAGGAAATGCAAAGATACTAACTCAGGTCTTTTTGAATGATTGAAGGAGGAAGAGGATTTGTAAACAGTTTGCAACGTAATCATGGAATCTTTATCCAGGCATTTGTGTAATTTAATAATAATAATTTTAGATCAGATTGTGGTTTGGGGGTTTGGGGGATTTTCTATTTGCTTTTGTTTTCAAGAACATTGCCTTTATGTAAATTACACATTTTGCAGAAATTTTCATGGTGTCTTAATTTTCATGTCTCATAATTATTATTTCATAATATCCCATATATGTTAATAATTATGCATTATGTTATGAAAAATGCATACATATTTTCAAAAACAAAGCATGAACAGTTTGTAGTAATTGAAGTATAAACTGGAATTGTTTTAGTTGCTGAACCACATTAAAAAAAAAAAAGAGCCATAATAAACGCGTTAACTTTTGGAGAGGTTTTAATTTTTTAATAGGACTAAATGTTACATTTTCACTGGATGGTGATGCCCCATATCCTGGTAACATTGCAGTCCCAGCAGCCAAAATTTATTGGTGTTTTTATTTGGCATTGACAGCCAAAAGGAAGACCCCATTTTATTTGATCTTTGACAAATAAAAAGAAATTTTAACCTTTTTTCCCTCTTTTTTTTTCTTTCCCCCCCCATAGGCTTAAAATGAATAAACAATGCCCTTTTTAAAGCATGACTCATTCAAAAGTACACCTTAAATGAGGAATTGTTCATTTAATTGAAATGATTCCTTTGCCAGGCTTTGTATTGATGTGTACAAATTAATCTTTTTTTATTCACAGTACAAGACTTGTGATCAAATAGTACTATTTTCCTCAAGATAAAAATCTTCACTTTGTAACCAGACAGAATGTTTTCTAATAATGTCTTGTGCCTTTTTTTTTGTAACTACATTTTGTATTTCCAGTGCATTAAATTTGTATGTGTGGTTTATACAGAAGCAGCACTCAAAAAAAAAAAAAAAGTCAGGAGAAAATAGGACTAAGGATAATTTTTAAAGTCATATGCAGAGCACTTGGAGGAAAAAAGAACAAAGGCACATCAGGGTAAAAGTAGTAGGAGGGTTATTTTGTTTTTCCAAACAAGTCAACAAAAAAAAAAAAAAAGGGGGGAGGGAAAAAAAAAAAAAAACCCCGCCAAAAAAACCAAACCAAAAAACCCCAACAAGACAAAATGCTGGTACTAGCTACACACACTTGTTATCTTTCATTATTAACACTGTATGAAGAGATTCCAAGTAAAGTAAAATATAGCAATGTAATAGAAGAATCTCAAGCACTTTATAATTTGCATGAATAGAAATTTAACATTTAAAACCATTCATTTCAAAGAGGGCATTAAACAGGGATCAGGAGAATACACGGCAGAAATTTTGGAAGGCTTTCTGGTGCATGATGTTTACACTTAAAAAAAAAAAATCTTTCATTTCCTATCTAAAAGCATAAAACCACAGTCACAGTTCTAGAATTAAACCTTTTGAAGATGGTTACCTAGTGAGTGGGGTGAAAAATGTCAATCTCAATGACAGTATATACCCACTAGAACAAGTGGTTTCTTTACTGATCACTTCTTGCTTTTCTTCTTAAAGGTACAATGTCAAACTTGGTTTATTGTTTTACTGTGTATTTCTTTTGTTTCCCCTGCCTGATAGGACTTTGAAATGATACCAAATAATTCATCTTTCAACTGGTTTCATTCCAGTAGCCTACTTTGGGATTATTTGGGCTTTCAGCACACTGAAGGGATGTTGCTATTTTCTAAAAAGCATTTAAATTTGTATTATAGTAAAAGATTATTACTAAAGCTGATATTGGTGCTTGATTATTTCACCAGTTTCTCATGTAAGTGACATAAACAATTAAGTTACAGCAAAACTGTAATTTGAGTTAATTGTGTTTTCAGGTCTCTGAACACAATGAATTTCATTACAAGGCTTTCTGCTTTATGTCTGAGGAAAAGCAAGATGCAACAGAGGCACCAAAGTAGTAGACGACCAGCTGTTCCACTTGGATCGCGGATTTTAACTGATCCTTCTAAGGTTTTTGAGCATAACATGTGGTGAGATGTTTCTTCAAGGCTGATTTTTCATATATTTTTGTATATTATTTACTATGATGAATAATGGGGGGTGGGTGTGTATATATAACAATGGACTGCCAGAATAGATGTGTAAAGGTAGTGCTAGAGAAAACTTGAGATTGTCACAAGTAACCTGACAGTTACGAGTTCTCAGTGACTTGCTTAAAAAGCTGCTGAGCAAGTAGTTAGTCATGGAATGAAAGGCAAAATATTGTTATAGATCTCCTATAGATATAGGAGACAAAGTGTAGAGATAAGATAGTCCATGTGATTTATAATGGCTGAAAGTTACTAGTTAGGTACAGTAACGCTGCATATTGGATTAGTGCTGTATTCTAAAATTGACACCATTCTGAAAGGAACATGTAAATGACTTGTATTCTTCTAAAGGTGTACTGAAGATGTAACAGATAGTTCAGCAGAGATTTCCATACAGTGCACAATTGTCAAAAAAAGTTAACTGAATCTTAACATAAATAAATGATATAGTAGTAGAGAAAACATTAACGTGTAAATGTTAACAAGAATAAGAATTGCCCTGATTTGCAGCAGTACATCTCCATCTCTAAAAGGTATTTTTATGATTAATGGGAGCTCAGAAAAGAGTCAGAACACTAGTCAACACAGTGGGAAAACTGAGATTGAAAAGGCTAGGATTTTTGACCATGGAATGGAGATGAATACAAAACAGTAAGTGATACAGGAAGTGTTAGAAGGATAGAAGAATATCTAAATCTCTCTAGAAAGTAGAAGAATATCTACCTAAGATTTTTGGAAGACCAGGAATTTTTATTCCTGTAGTTCATAACTTAAGAACAAGGAATATTTGATGAAAAGAGAAGTGGGGAATTTAGAAGCTTTACAAGAAATTATTTTCTACATAATTTTTAAATATATTTTTAAATTCTGCCACACACCATTTGTGAAAGCAAGGCTTTAGCAAAATTAGAAAAGGGACTGGATGTGGCTAAAGATAACCAATGGGTAACATAGGAGTAACAGATGACAAGTTTCAGGACTTAAGCTTACTTCATAAAAGTAATCTGCAGTTCTTATACCTTCCTCGGAGGTGTTCCCTGCTGGCAACTGTCAGACGTTACTGGACAAGCTTTTGTTCTGAAATGAAGTTTCCAACTTGCTGGGTTTTTAAAAAAATATTATTCTTTTTAGTAGTCCATTTTATTTGTTAATTGGCCCATTTTACTTTTTAATCTAAATTATTTCAAAAGTTTCTCTAATAAAATTCTGATGAATAAAAAGGTCTTAAGAGAAGACACAGACACAGAAGATTGTCTTCTAGTTGATAAACTAGTATCTTAGTTACTCTATTTAGTCTCTAAATTTGGGCTTAACTCATGAGGTAAGATATGCAACTAGATCTGTCACCTATTACTGTTTTCTAAACTAGATATCCTCAAGCCATGGTCCCCAACACATACCACCTTAAGGCCAAATCTGGAGTTATCTATATTTCCATAAGTTCCTTGGTCAAAGAAGCTGGCTGGTTATTGTGTTAAAAGAATGTAAAGTTTATCTCCGTGTTTCATAAATCTATATGCAGTGTAGTTCTTAAGCATCTGCCAGACTCAGTACCTCCTGCTAGGTGGAAAAATCCTTTACTTGTGTGAATGCTGATTCAAATGTAGGCTGTATAGTCAAGGTAGGGAAAGATTTTAAGAAAAAGGCCACCCTTTTTCTGTAACATTGTACCTTGACGAAACTCGGTTTTGTTTCATTTTTTAATTTCCTTCCAAATAAATGATCATGTGTAGCTTCAGTTTTTCTTGCTAGCATTCAGTGACAGTAATACAGAGTTATCAAACTATGATGCAGGTGGTTGGGATGGATTGTGAAGATGGGATTGAAAGGAACAGGGTTGTTCAGAAAGTGGATCTGCAGATGAATCCACATAGCTCAGAAGGGAAAACAGGTGAAACTGAGTTGGAGCAGAGGTTGCATGGAAGTTGCGAAGGTCTTGATAAATCAAGAACCTGGCTATGAAGTGGGGGCAGGTCGTTGGATCTGAAGCTTGCTGAATGAGCAGGGTTCTCACAACGGAGATAAGGGGGATCAGGTTGAGTGGTGGTTGAGCTAAATAGATCATGCCGGGTGAGCGTAAGAGATTCATCTTCCCTAGCATTGGTGTATGAGGATTTATGTGCTTTTGTTTTCCACTCATCTTTGCTACTTCATAAAGTGGCATCTTTCTTTGCCTGTATGTGAATTGGCAGGGAGCCAAGAGCTGTTACCATTGCTGCTAGGAATACTAAGCAAATTAAATTTGGGAACTAATGCTTTAGATATTTGCTGTGGTGCTTTTCTGTCATTTTGAGAGAGAAGTAATGAATGATGCTAAACACTGGAGCAAAAAATGTCTGCTTCTATTCAGGTTAGTAATTGGCATAGTTTTCACATGTTAGTAGTTTTCAGAGATAATTAAACCCTATGTTAGCAAACAAGTTAATGGAAAAGGGCTAAGTTGAATAGGCTGAACTGAAAGTAGTATTGCTTGATCTCATGTCAGGCCTACTCATGTTAACAGTTCCTGGTGTGGTTAAAATGGATAGCTTCCTTTGCTGCTGTCAATGTTCAGCTTAAAACACTTCTGTATTTAAACACTTCTGTGTTTAGAATTCTTCTGTATTCTGTGTTCCTGCCGGCTTGCACTGTGGAAGGAGCTGCCTCATTTGAAGCATCCAAACTATGTATAGTTTGCATAAGAACTATGCTATGTCCCCTCTTTTCCAGATTTTGATCAAGAAGTGCTGCTGCAGTCCTGTTGTTTGGGGTCTTCCATATAGAAAGTTCTAGGAAAGAGCCGAAAGATCTTTTTTCAGCTTTATGAATTTCCAAGGAGGGACAAAAGGAAAAAAAGTTGCTGATGAAGATGGAGGACTTCAGGCACCTATAGTATTGTGTGTAGAGCCCTTAAGGGCTCTGACAGACACACAATGATGGATTAAAATTGATCAGCTAAAGGTTATACCACAGCAATCATCTGTCAGAAGGGCTGACTGTATATTATTGCCATCTGAATAGTCCTTGGTTTCAGCTTGCTAGAATAGGCAAGGTCAAAAACGGTGATAGCAGTGAGGGAAGCAAGTCTTTCCAAGAGGATGGCTGCCTAGTAATGCTTCAGTCATTCAGTTTTCTTTTACTACAGCATGACTGTCAGAGCCTTGACACTGCACAGGAACATTTGGTATATGAACAAATACAGGAAGGGGAGGGGCAACCTGCTGGGGACAATAATGAGAAATATTTCAGTAGAGAATGCGGAAATCAAGTCTGAGGCAAGCAGACAAATACGTACCAATTAGTCTCCCACTATTAACAAAAGAGGAACAGTGACAGTCTAAGAATTAAATTACCTATATGTCACCTTGCATGGAACAGAAAGATGCTTGTTAGCTTTTGGAGACGATCAACTCTTTTCAAGTTGGCACCTTGTTCCTTTTCCCATAGTAACCAATGGAATTTTATTTACAGGCTTTCGGTTAATTGATTTCAGTAGGATTAGGATCTAATAGATTACTTGGATTATATTATCTAATTTAATCTGATTTCTAAAACTGTTCAGACTGGATGATTTGGAGGGACAGCTGATTTGCTTTTAAAAGCTGCCAGCAGCATGTTTTTGGGCACTCCCCATTGTGGCCTGATCCAAACACAGAATCTGCAGGGAAGGCAGTTTAGTCATCAGGGTCAGATCTTGGCTTGGTTTTGTGACCATTTAATGGATTAATATAACATTAAGTGAACCACTTTACACAAATATAGATAGCATAGACTCTGGAAACATTGCAGCACTGCTTGTCTTAGGACTGTCTCATTCTTCTTTTTTCTAAATGTTTCCTGTCTCTATTCCCCAAATAAGTAAAATCCTGTTCATCAATTCCACCTGTTCCACTTGAATAGGTGGATTATACTCCCTGTTTCAGGAACAGCTGGTTCCTTTGCTAAATGACCTTTGTTCCTCATCATAAACATTAGTAATGTGAGAAGTTTCTTGCATCAGGGTGTTTGTTGATAGGTCTATTATTATATCCAGCTAAACACAATTCTAATGGGACACTCAAAATACATTCCTATAAATGCACTCAATTTACAAGATATATGTTAATCCTATTATTAAGAGGAAAAATGCATACTACTTCAGCCTCTTTGCAGTTGGAAGATTTTTCTTAATCGCTTGAGTTTTACCTAACTAGTAATTAATTTTTTTCTTATCGTAGACTGAAACTTAGTTTTTAACTGTCAGTCTCCTTGTGGTCATTTGCTTGCATTCAAAAAGAAAATGTATTTGAGACAGTGTAGCTAATTTGTGACTGTTTTCCCTGGAGAAAAAAAGATTATGGAAAATTCTGTTTAAAGGCTGGTTCTTCAACTGCCTTTTGCAGGGACCACATGCAGTGGTCACAAGAAGAAGAGGAGAATGCCAAGGAAAAAGCAGCAGAGAACTCACTTGTGAAAGTCCAATGGGAAGACCAAGGTAACAAATTCATAGTGGCTTAAAATTTCCTATTTTAATGCTATTTTTAAAGCATTTAAAGATTAAAGCATTAAAATCCAGGAACACTCTTTTTATTTCTACATTCTCTTGTCTAAATTTGTTGATTTTTTTTTTTTCCTTTGTTGCCTCAAAAGATTGTCTCAAACTGTGGTTTTCTAGCAATTCAGTTACTTATTTGAGCAATTTTGCATTTGCAGGGGCAACAGGCTCTATGTAAAACAAGTACATCACTATGGTGCAGTTGCACGTTCTGGCTCCTTTTGCAGTTCTTCAGAATAAAACTCCTACTACACAGGACTGTTACTTCATTAAAGGGAATGAATTTGCAGCCAGCTAGGATGCTGGGGATGAAAGTTCCCATGTACAATATTCAAATGCTTTTTAATGATTTGTGGACTGTTTAGAGAGCTAGTGTTTGTACATTACACCATATTTCAGTTAAGTGCCATGAAAGTTGCGCTGGTCCCAGCTGGTCCCGGCTTGCTGCCTTGGCCAGGCTGAGCTGGGAGTGCTTCAGGAAGCAGTGTGTTCACTTTCTGTGGAAGGTGTTCCAATACATCATGCAGAGTCTGCTCTGTAAATGATTAAGGAATTTCGTGCCTGTCTTCAGAAGGGAAAAAATGTATTCTGTGTTTCTGAAGAATGATAGCTCTAGGTTCAAACTGGTAAACTAAACCCTAGACTAAACTCTAGGATAGTTATGTGTGCTAAAGCTGGAGTATCAACTTGATAGTAACATAGAAATCTGGATTCTTAATTTGTTCCTTTATTAGAAAGATATTCTGAAAACAATTACTTGGATGTCCTGGGCCTCAGTTTACCTAGAGTGTCTTGAACTTGTCAAATTATTGTCGTTATGATCCTGTGCTCGGTTTCATTTATGTAACTAGGGCACATGTTGGAGTTTATTTGAATTACCTGTGAATGTGTCTTGGATTGTGTGCCCTTCATCACTTTGAATGCTCTGGGATTGTCGTCCTGCCCTTTTCTGTTACCTCTCGCATTCTTTATCTAAATACAGGAGTACAATGTTTGTTATTCAAAAATCATATCTAATATTTTCATTTGGTTTGTATAAAGAGTTGAAAAAGAGCTCATAATTGAAAAGTAAGCTGTGTAACCATGTGGCTCATGGAACCTTTCATTCTTCATCTACAATCAATTAGAACTTAGTTTGTGTTGGTGAGAAATGGAATAATCGGGCATTTGTCTATTGCCAAGAAATACAAGAATCCAAGGATGTTGCCTATGAATGCCCCTCTGTTTAGAACTTGAATAGGTGAGCATTGCTGATAGTGTTCCTTCAGAAAGCTTCAGCTTCATTCTGCAAGTGGAAGTACATTTTGGCCTAATTCTCTAAACAACAAACTAGACCGAAGCTAACAAGCAGGTTATTTTGGGGCCTTGGAAACTACAGTAAGGGGAAAAAAGACAACACAGATTTCAACAATACTATTATATCAATGAAATAGGATAGTTCTGGTGAGCCTCGTTAAAACAAGAGAAGTTAAACTGAGTGAACTCATGATACTACTTTTAGGAATTTGATTTACTTACTAGCATGTCCAGTTTCTTCTCAGGCATGCCTGCTAGTGTTGAAAGATTCTGTTAAGGAGAAAAATCAATCGATTAAGTAAGGGATTTTTTTTTTCTCAGAAGGTTATACGTTTATTAGTTTTGTCATTTTTATATTATTTGGAAAATCTAGTAGTCAGGCTACTTAAATACACAAAATGAAACAACAAATTATAATAATACTGCATGTGTGGTTATTACACAGTGGTGCAGGAGTGACCAGTGAAAGAATGGAAAGCAAAGTGTTCTTTCACTTGAACTTACGTAATACCATACTAATACAATTTGAAAGGCTGACAGCTATTGCTTTCCTTCAATTCTGAAATCTGGAAAACTTGATGGGAATTTAAGTACAAGGGTTCTGAGCAGACTCGTAGAAACGTAGTGACTGTAACAAGGGGTGATAAGATTTAAGAACCTTTTGAGTAGAAGGTTTGTTTTTTATACTGAAGCCAAGCAATCTATGAATGTGCAGCTTACACTACTGAAGTCTGGTATATATGACCTCAATCAACTCTGTACGTATATTATAAAAAAAGTCTCTACAATTACTCTGCATGGTTGGGTCTTGCCCTTTAATAATACAACTGGATGTATTAAATGTTAAATTTAAAAAATTATGCAGATTTCTAGGACAAGGCATTCTGCCACCTCCTTGCCACTTCCCACTGCCTGTCTGTGCCTCTAATGATAATTCTCAGCCTTGTTTATCTCTGAAAAGCTGTAGCGATTTAGGAAATAGTATGTTAAGATTTAAATGAGAGTAGTAGGAGAAATGCGCCATATATTTATCCTGTGCATTTATATTAAAAGAATTAATGGGTCAGTGTAAGTGAATAGGGACAAAATAAAAAAGGCAAAACATATGATGTACACTTAGCAAGAGACGTCAAGGTTAACAAGAAACAGTTCTGTAAATGCTTTGGGAATGAGGGGAAAAAACAAGAAAAAGATTTGGTTTGGTACTTAGGAGGGATGAGGAAGGGAAAACCATCAACAAAAGAGACATTGAAAAAGCTGTAATTCTTATCTTTTTATCAGCCTTCCTTTGAAAGGGTTATCTGCAGTCCAGTGGCTAGCACTAAGAGTGCTAGTGAAGAGGAGGAAAGATCTTGTTCTTGTACTGAGAAAGAACAGGTTACAAAGTACATCCATAGAGTACATGGATGACTGGGAAAGCAGAAAAGAGAATATTTACTTTTTTAAAAAGGGAGGTGGGAAAAGAGAAGAGTCAGATAATTACTTTCAATTCCTGGAAAAATACTGGAAGAGATAATCCAGAGCTTGCAGACACTGGGTTTGGAAGAACAAAGGAGATGAATACTGGCCAACAAATATTTTTCAAGAATAAATCATGTAAAATCAAGCTAATTTCCTTCTTGGAGAAGGTTACAAGCCCTGGGGATAAGGAAAAAACAGCACACGTCCTGAAATTTATCCTTAGTCAGGCTTCTGACTTGCTTTACTTGACATTTTCATAAGCAAGTTAGGCAAGTGAGAGCTAAGGAAACTGCTTTTGGGTGAATGAATGCCTAGAGAGATCCTTTCAGAATGGAAGGCTGTGCTGGGCAGAGGAGTGTTTTGTTCTGTGTCCAGTTCTGCTTGGTATTTTCATTAGTGACCTCAGGAAATGGGAGACTTGAAGATGATATTAAGTGAAGAGATGTTTCAAGTATGGTGAAGGATTCAATTAGGATTCAGAAAGATCTGGACAAACTGTGGAAAAAAATGATCTGCAAGATATAAATTTGCTAAAAATAAATGCAGAATACTTTGCTTAGGAATAATTCCTTGAAAAAAATACTAGGTTCTGGAACAATTGGCTAGGTAGTCATTTTGCAGAAGAAAATCTGAGGGTTGTGGTGAATCACTAGCTGAATCAGCAGTGGCAAGCTGGGAGTTATAAACAGGTTTACAGCCTGTAAGCCTCGTAAGATATTCCTTTTGCTCTGCGTTGATAATGCCTTTACCAGAATACAGCACCAAAAAGTAGTAAATCAATTGGAGAGAATCTAGAGAAGAAAAATGAAAATGATCAGAAGTCTAAAAATCATGATTTACGTGGAAAAAAGAAGAGAGGTTTAGACAATCTGGAAAAGAGATTGTTTCTGGGAAACATAGTAAAAGACTTCAAATAAGTAAATAGGTGTTGCAAAGAGAAGTGAGTAATCTTTGCTTTATCTGCTTGGTTAATGGGACAAGAATTACTGGACTTAAATTGCAATAAGGAAATTTCGGGTTAGGTAGTGGAAAAGATTTCTAACTGTACAGATGGTGAAGGACTGTAATATATTACTGAAGAAAGTTGTCAAACCTGTAAGGTGGTATTTTAAGAACAAGTTGGACACATTTCTGTGGAGAAGGGGTATGAATTCCCTGACTGGGTGAAATCCCTTCCGATCCTATTTTTGATATTCTAACATTCAGTTAGAATGTTTTGTGAATTAAAAGTTAACACAAAGCTACTGTAAGGGACAAGAATTACTGGACTTAAATTGCAATAAGGAAATTTCGGGTTAGGTAGTGGAAAAGATTTCTAACTGTACAGATGGTGAAGGACTGTAATATATTACTGAAGAAAGTTGTCAAACCTGTAAGGTGGTATTTTAAGAACAAGTTGGACACATTTCTGTGGAGAAGGGGTATGAATTCCCTGACTGGGTGAAATCCCTTCCGATCCTATTTTTGATATTCTAACATTCAGTTAGAATGTTTTGTGAATTAAAAGTTAACACAAAGGTCTACTGTAAGACTCTCTGAAGTGTTTTGAAAGTAAGAAAGCCAGTATGTTGCTTCTGACTGTATTGTTATTTTCTGTCAAAACTGCGCTGTTGAATGGTTAAGAGGGCATTACTGTCTATTGGCTATGCAGTAGCGTTTATCACTCCAGTTCAGAGAACTGGATTTCTAATTGATGGTTTTTTTGAGAGATGTCTCGCTACCAACAAATTTGCAATTGTTCGTAGAGTTTCATAAATCATGAAATTAATTTCAGCTCAGTATTTCTTAAATAGGAGAAACATGGACAACATTTAATTGAAAAGATGCATTCCTTTTATAATTTGAGCCATGAAAGCTTGTCTAAGAAACTTACGATTGCATATTTTGGTGATGCTGTTCTATTATGTCACTACATTTAAAAAAAAAAAAGATGATGCAGAAAGCCTGTCTGCCCCATCCTAAGGCACATAAAATCTAATTAAACCCTCCTGGGAGTTATTTTGAGCAAAGATTAAGGTAAGACCCAAAATCCATATGTTTTTATTTAAATGTGTGTAATGTGGGAAACTACGGATTTTTAAACTGTAAATTTGGGGTCCATATTCTGTGTTGCTTTACAGTATTTTGTAGCTAAGCTCATATTCACCAAGTTTTTGTTTTGTTTTAATTTCAGATAAATATGAGAGAGAAGCCAGTAAATATTGGAATGAATTTTACAAGACTCATAAAAATAACTTTTTCAAGGATCGCAATTGGCTGTTTCTGGAGTTCCCAGAAATTCTTCCAGAAAAAAGGAGAGAAGAGTTGAAAACAGAAGAAAGATCTTCAGAACACATAAAAATAAATAGTGCCAACAGTTTTTCACATAAAAATGAAATGTTTGAGGAAGGAGAAAAATATTGGAAGAAAAATTATGGAGGTGGTTCCACTTCTGTACGACGATATGTATTTAATAAAAACCAAGCAAAATCTCTTACTGACAATCCTCAGGCTAAAAACTGTGGAGAAGAATTTGGCAGGCTAGAATCCTTCCCTGGTAGTGACGCCACTTACAGAATATTAGAGGTAATGCACTGCAAATGTTCTACCCATCATATAGAACTCCACTTAATTGCTCAAAAGCCTGATAAAGATGCTTAATAAGTATCAAGAAAGTAAACATTTGGAATTTGCCGTACTACATTCATTTATGGCAGAAACTTTCAGAGAAACCTAAGATCTGGGCTTTGTTTTCCCTTTCAAGTTTCTCCCAAATCAGAATTTAGGGCTAGATTGTCAGATTCCATTTTCACTGGAAGTTGGGTTTCTAATTTCCTAAGGAAAGTTATGTCTTACAGTGCTTTGTTCTTAAAGTGCTCTGTTTTAAAGTGCAAGTACTTGACACATTCTTGCCAAATGGTGAAATTGGACAAGAATATTGCATTTTCCTATGCAGTTTGAGAGATGGATTCTCTCTTAACTTTAGAAAGACATTGAGGAGAAACATGATCATAGAAGTGATTTGAGAATTGTGGTATGAGCTGTTTATACATTTTCTGTCCAACATACCTTCAGGTCTAATGGATCCTACCTACCAACTAATTTAAGACAAAAATAAAAAAATACGAGGTTTTATTTGTTCATTTATTTTGACTTTTTGCTTCTCTTCTGATTTTAGGTTGGTTGTGGTGCTGGAAACAGTGTCTTTCCTATTTTGAAAGTTCTATGGTATGTAGTGCTGGATTTTCAAATATGAAAGTTCAGTTCTCATCTTCATTTTCTTCAAATGTTGGTGCTAGACCACTGCTGCAGGAAGTGTTGAGTGGACTGTTTTACAGCCCTGAAATTCTGATTGCTTGCAGACCACAGATAATGTTGGTAGCATCAGTACAAGATACTCCTCATATTGGTCAGCCCTAGTCTTGGGGGGATCATATTTGCTGACAATGTTTGTCTTCAGGTGCATTCAGATTGATTTCTTGTAGTTAATCTCAGGCAGGTGAAATATTCTCTTGTCTTATCTGGTAGCTTTATGGTGACATATATCTCTTCAAAAGGCCAAAATCAGAGACAGTAGATAATGGCATGTGATCTACTGGTAAGAAGTTGTATTATTTCTGAATTTGGCTGGTACACTTTGTCATACTGCTTCAGGTTTTAGTGTCAAGGAAGGCACAAGTCCTGTATTGCATTACTTAATTCCTTGAAACATCTTAATCCACCTAGCTTCCAGTTTTAGAAGAAGCTGTTATGACAGCATGGCTTCCCTTCCATGTAGGCAGGAAGGTTTTATTGGAAAGGCTGTGTATGTATTAAGGGTTGAAATAGATTTCTTCTTATTCGTGCCTCCAAGAGCTTAAGTATGGCACAGTTCGTTATTCTATAAATGAATTCTGATTGCTAGCATCACCACTATACAAAAATACTCCATTTTGCAGATACGGAAACAGAGAGCAGGAGGAATCGAGTGACGCACCAGGGTCATACACGAAACCTATTAGAGTTAGCAATGCATCTTCATCCCACAACAAATGCTTTGCTTTAGACAGCATGTAATGAAAGGGGAGCCCTGTTTCATATGAAAAGTTTGGAACGTAACACTATATAGGGAAAAGATATCACGTGGCTGTATTAAAAAGATGAGACAAACTTTTGTGTTTTCCTCGCAGGAGGCATTAGTCATAGTTTGGCTTTTCTGGTAATTAAGAATCCACTCATTAGGTATTTTTCCCGGAGATCTCTATTCTTATGCAAATCCTTCAGTCAATCACGTTGGTTGGTACATTGAACAACTCACACATTTGTCTTATATATGACCTGATGGAAACATCTCTTACCTCTTAGCAGGCCTGACATTATAGCACAGTTGGTTTTACTCTGAATTTAATAATATAAAAATTGCCTTTTGTATGCATATAAAAAGAAGTCAGTGTCAAGTATGAGCGTACCCTGGCTACAAAAGAATTTTCCACTTAGGTTTGTAATGTAACTTTTAAACTGCTTCCCCCTACCCCCCTTAAAATCTAAGTTATTGTTTTTTAATACAATGCATCATGAAATCACCATCCAGATCAAGCTGTGTCTTTGTTTTAAGTAGACTTTCTACGTAGCTCCTATTCTGCTCTAAAAAAAATTGAAATAACATCCTAACAAGTCAGTTAGGTAATCTGCTTAACCTTTCCCAAGGGACTGGCTGGGTCCAAAGCCTGGCTGCTTGTCCTCATCCATGATAAATATCTAAACTCATCAACTGTCATGGTGGGCACAGAACTGATAAAAGTTTTGCTCAGCGACAAGGATGGAGTATATTTTGGTCCATAAGGTTGTCCTGCTGAGCCCTCAGAGAGAGGTCACTAACTCAGCTGTGTATACTGTGAGATCGTATAGGCACTGCCAGAGTTTATTGACTGCCTTTCTAAAGAAACGGTCTGTCCAAAATCTCAAATATTTTTTAAGAGAGATTAATTGATCATGAGTTGACTATGAGGTCATCCCTCAGTAGGCTTTGAGGGGCTTGCTTAGTTTCTCTTAAATGAATTTTTCGGAGGTGAAAAAAATTTCTCCCTAGAGTTACTAGTGTCTGATGAATGGTACGAGGAACTTTGCAGCTGACTTAGTCTTGGATGGGAAAGGAGGGGAAAACAGTGCCACAGGAAATTCTTATTCATCTTGGCTTACAAAACAAAGGGGATAATGGAGGGAAACAACCAATACCGCTTAATCTAATCAAAAGCACAGCAAGGTGGCACATGGGAACCCAAACCTCTACAGAACTGTGGATGACTTTTGCAACACCCCACCCCCGCCCAAATCATACTGCTAATTAAACTGCATATATGGGCTAATGATAGAGACTTAATGCAGTGCTTCTGTAAGAAAATGTGACCTATTAATGTGCATTTATGTAATACAACACCAGGACATTGTCATCAATCCTGACAGCCCTCTGTGACCTTCTTTCTTTTCCTTTTCACTTCCTGCCTGACAAGGCTATAATTCTCCATTTTATACTAACTGCCTGTTGGTATTCTTATGAATTTGTCTGCCCTATTGGTTCATTACAACGTATGTGGCTTTCCATGTGCTAGACATCAATAAGGCATGCTTGATCAAGCCTGTGGAGAACCCTAAAGGGCCCTCTGTAGTTCCATGAACACTGATGTAGACTTTAATCTTTTACAATAATAATTTTTTAACTGATGTTGGTTTTGTTTTCCTAGCAATACACCTGGAACCTTTCTGTACTGTTGTGATTTTGCTTCAGGAGCAGTGGAGCTGGTAAAGGTAATTCATATGCTCGCTTTAGAGTACCTTATAAGCCTCTAATTCAGGAGGCTGCCAGGAAGCCGTCTTCATGAAAAAGAATGTGATGGCTTTGACAACTTTTAACTGAAGTTTTCAATATTCGAAAGAACAAAGTCTTACTCTGTGCAGAGAGGAATGAATACCATCAGTGAGCTTGCTTCTCAGCTTGAGTAAGATACCAGACAGAATAGGCTTTTATATGAGATGTTTTACAATGCTGAATAATTGAAGAAAAAAAGTTTCTTGAGTCACAGTAAATGTATTAACTACTACTGTTCTCTCTGTGCCTCTTTTCATCTTTTTCCTGACAGTCACATTCGTCCTACAATTCAGCCTGGTGTTCTGCCTTTGTTCATGATGTGTGTGATGATGCTTTACCCTATCCTTTTCCAGATGAGATCCTGGATGTCATTCTCCTTGTCTTTGTGCTCTCTACTATTCATCCTGACAGGTAAATGAAGACTAAAGGGCAAAGCAAATGGGTTAAATCTCTTTTATCACTGGAGGTTTTCAAGAATAGCAAAAGAAGATGATGAATCTTTAATTTATTATTGAATAAGCTACAGTATCTATAAAACAAGGTATTTTAAATGCTGTTTCCCATTTTCAGGCTTCAAGAGAAAAGCTGTTCAGGCTAATTCATTAGTGAGACTCCTGTCTCCATCAAAATACAAGGGGTATATTGTAACTAAATACATCCATATGAAAAGTGACAGTGACTCAAGAAAATTACAAATTAAAAAAACCAGACCGCTAGTCTTCTAGAAGGAAATTAGTTTTAGTGATCAAAACCAAACATTCATGATTTAACATCTTACAGTATGTTGATAAAGACTTAGGTTGCTGATTTAGCCACACGCGAATGCTTACCTGCAGGCCTTTTAAACCAAAATACATTCAGAATTTTGTAACTTGTTTGGTTGATCTATTTTTCATGCATAGTGTTATGTTGAGTGCTGTTAGCCTTGTTACTAATGCCTCTCAATGTCTGATGAACCAAACTTTATGACTGTTAAGCTGGCTGATTGTGAAAATGCCCTTTTTTTTAATGGGAAAAATGCAAAAGAGGACATGTAAGTTAAACGCCTTGACTCTTCCTTTAACTAGATCATATGAAGGGAAATACATGCCGTATGTGTGGTAATACATTTATCACTTTAAGAATCTCATTAAAAGGGGCTTGGCAAACAGAACAGTATTTGCCTAAGTCTGAGAACTGTTTCCCTGCCTAAGTTATTAATGATTAGTTTTACAGAAAAATCTTTCCCATATAGGATATTGGTCCTTCCTGTTCAGAGATGAGCACATGAGTCATGCAAAGCCTGGGTTCAGATTTCAAAAGCAATTCAAGCAGTAGATGTCAGATCTCTGTAACTGCGGTGATGCTGCCAGGAAGAAATTGGACAATAGAGACACATTCATTCAATCGCTTTGCCTGTAGAAGCAGTAATCAGATGTTCTGTCAGAATTTCTGTGGTACGTCATCGGTATCTAAAGGCTGACATGGATGCTTTTGTGTGTGTGTGTGTATACACACATAAAGATTTCCGTGTAATTATCTGTGTTGTGAGACCCGCTTTCCAAAGATTTATTAGTCATTACTGTCATCTCATAGCATTAAAATGACTGCATGAAGGCAAATGTAATCCAGATTCATCTTGCTCAGTATATGTTTTTTTCTGGAAACTTTGAAAGTGGGAAATGAAAAAGAAAACCAAGAGAATGATGATGCAGAACTTATGTACTTTGGAGACCTGGAAAATATACATGAGAGGGACACATTTGTATTCAGCACAATTATTACTTAGTGATTTCTCTTCAGGCTGTTGTGTTTAGTTTTTGATAATTGCTACTCTTGCACCCCATTTTTAACACACTTCAGTTTTGCTAGAAGGCCCCTCTAAAAGCTGGTTGCAAAATTTGAAAGGTATTAAATTTTCTTCAAACTATATAATTAATGTGCTCTAGTCCTATGGGATGAGATTTCTCAAAGCACTTTCACTTTTTGTGCATGTACATTTTTTTTCTATGTGCACAAAACTTATGTTTATCTAGGCAAAGTCTGTAATTCTGTGCACAACTATGTGTCTTGAAGAGTCTCTTATTCTTAGGTGGTGCTGCCTTTTCTGTCTGTGGCAGCACCCTTGGTTGCCTGTGTTGAGCATGAGCAAAGAGGACAACTTTTAAAGCACTTGGCTTCCTCTAAGGGAATTCCGTGCTTAAAAAGCATATGCTGCATTTTGTTCTTGTTTGTTTGTTTGTTTGTTTGGAGATATGATATTATTTTCTGCTGAACTACCTCCTAATTCTGTCCCTTAAAAATCAAGGTAAGATGCCTGCACTACTGTTGCATAAGGACCAAATTGTATTAGTGCTTGAGTTCTGACATTCTTGGGGCCAGAGGGTAAGGCCACCTGAGAGACAGGGATGGTGTAAGGATGTTGTCTTGGTACACAGTAATGGTATGCTGATTTTGTATTGTTAAGTAGGACTTGCTCTTCTTTAGCTTTTTTCAGATACAGCACGCTGCCTTTCCTTTACATTAATTTTGCATTCACTCTGGCTCCACATCTTCTACGTGGTCTATCTGCTTCCCTGTGGGAGGAAGGGTTGAATTAGGCAAGTGGACTTTTCTACCTCGCAGCCTGCCAGGTGCAGACTGCCTTTTGTGGTCTTTCATGAATGTGGAAAACCTGAGTCCTTCAGTTTATTCTGAAAGAGTGAGGCAAACCCAAGCTATTATTCATTAGTAATGCATTTTGCAGAGTAATACAAATGTATTTATAAGAAGCTCCAAGGTAAGGTTAAAAAGTGAGAATGAAGATGCTCTGGTCTAGTGAAGGGGAAAGAGTACTGTATATGGTACTTATTCCTATCATACATACAGCAGGCTGGTGTAATCTTGATAAGGAAGGGCTGATGTTAGATACCATCAAGGAGGATGCAGACTTTCCTCCTCTAACTAGCAATATCTCCAGATGGAGTTCTGTCAGATTCCTCTCCTGAGGTACTACTCAGATTCATCTTTCCATCCTCAACCATTAGGTGTGGAGATACTGATTTTGTGTGTATGATCAGTACCTCCATAAAGAAATCGGATAAGGTTTTGTCTGCCTTCCAGGCCCTTGATTTTGCTATGTACAGCAAGAAGGCTCAGTCTAGCTCACCAATGCACATAGCTAACTGTTCATTCATTGTTCATCATATATCTGCCTGACCCATATGACCCATATACTCAAAAATTGTATTTTAATCCAGCCTTGAGATTCTGTTGAAGTGAAGGAAAAGGGCTCCTTTGCTCTTTCCAGTTTGTATTCTCTTACAGTTTCTTTTAAATTTTTGGTTTAGAGGCTTTTTTGTAAAGAGTTCTTCCTGTTCACAAGTGCCTGGTCTTTTTATAGTAAATATAGACACATCTTCTCACTGTAGTTTTGGAAATCTATGTATATTCCAAGCATCTAGAAAAAAACAGTTATGTTTGCAAATTTCACCAGTATCCCATCTATTTTCTAAGGATGCAAGGGGTTGTAAATAGGTTGGCTAAACTACTGAAACCTGGAGGAATGTTGTTATTTCGAGACTATGGAAGATATGATACAGCTCAACTTCGTTTTAAAAAAGGTAATTCCTGAATGCTTTTGTAGTTCACTGTTCATTTTAACTCTCTTTGAAAAAAAAGTGACATGTCCTTTTTCATTACTGCTCTAATTTCTTAGGGCACTGCTTGTCAGAAAATTTTTACGTACGAGGAGACGGAACCAGAGTATATTTCTTTACCAAAGGTATGAAATGGTATAGTTTTATAGAAAGGGTTGAGTGTCTCTCAAGGTGATTTGGGTTATAAAAGCTCATCTTACTACAGAAATTTAAAGGTTTTATTGGCTTTTTTTTTTTTTAATTCTCTGCTCTTACAAAGCCCAAACTAACTGTTGTAAGAAATTAATTCCCTTTATGTGTACACTTGTTGCATCTGGGGTTCTGCAAGATTGCTTGCAGGCATCACTGGAAATTTCTCTCTGTCTAAGCATCTTGTGTCTAACAGTATGCTCAAATTCTGTTATTTAAAGATGTACTTGATTTCTTTCTTAAAATTGAGATAAACATGCTTGGAAGGACAGTTGGTAGCAGTGCTCTGATATTTTGTTCTGCTATGTTGGTGAATCTGAGCTGGGAGGCTGCTCTTTCTGCAGGGGCTAAACTTAAATTCCAGATTATGGATACTATTGCTCTTTGCCCATCCACTCCCTTGGTTCTGTTGGCAGTCAGCTTAGACTGGTATATTTTAGCCCAGCTACTGGAAACTGTGGAAGTGAGCACTCTCAAGGTGATTTGGGTTATAAAAGCTCATCTTACTACAGAAATTTAAAGGTTTTATTGGCTTTTTTTTTTTTTAATTCTCTGCTCTTACAAAGCCCAAACTAACTGTTGTAAGAAATTAATTCCCTTTATGTGTACACTTGTTGCATCTGGGGTTCTGCAAGATTGCTTGCAGGCATCACTGGAAATTTCTCTCTGTCTAAGCATCTTGTGTCTAACAGTATGCTCAAATTCTGTTATTTAAAGATGTACTTGATTTCTTTCTTAAAATTGAGATAAACATGCTTGGAAGGACAGTTGGTAGCAGTGCTCTGATATTTTGTTCTGCTATGTTGGTGAATCTGAGCTGGGAGGCTGCTCTTTCTGCAGGGGCTAAACTTAAATTCCAGATTATGGATACTATTGCTCTTTGCCCATCCACTCCCTTGGTTCTGTTGGCAGTCAGCTTAGACTGGTATATTTTAGCCCAGCTACTGGAAACTGTGGAAGTGAGCACACAAATTTTTTTTTTTTTTACCCTCTGCAACCTAGACTGTAAGCAATAGAGATGGATCAGGATTTATCCCAGCCTGAGTAATTTTAGAAGCGAGAAGGAGGATCTGGGACATGTATGGGAAATTACTTGAATTCAAAGAGCCTTCTCCATTTTGAAATGTCTTGGTTTGTGCTTACTCATGACAAAGAAGCTTAAAGTTTTCCAGTGGTGACTGACAAGAAGGAGATAATGACGCTGGCATAAATGTGTGGATTGTCATTTGGCAGGTGAAATAGCTTTATCTCGATAATAGCAAAGAGCGACCAAATGGCATGCATTTGTTTTCCTCAACTCTGGCATACTGAACCCTCTGAAGAAAGGGGATCTATGAATGCCATGGGTAATAACCAATGTGGTTTAGGCCTCAACATAACATTTTTTACTGTAATATAAATTGAGAGCTGTGAAAGTGAATTTCTAACAAAAGACTCCTTACAGGTGGTTTCCTTGATCTTTCAAATCACAAAACAGATTTAGTTCCATCTTTGGTTGAACTGCAGGTTGTTAATTATGACATTCTACAAATGTCTTTTTTTTTTCTAATTACAATAATTCTTCATATGAGAAAATAGATGAGGTATGGAACATGTTCAACTTGGCTGGATTAACTGAAGTACAGAATTTAGTTGATCGGCGATTACAAGTAAACAGGAAGAAAAAAGTGAAAATGCAGCGAGTTTGGATACAAAGCAAGTTCCAAAAACCGTTGCTGCTATCTCTGAATAATCCTGAAGAAACCACCGAAAGGCACCCTTATAGATGATTGTGCCATGAACTCCAGAAACTGAAGCAAATTTGAGTACGTATATTTCCTATAAATCTTGTGTTAGCCACTGAAAAGGAGAAATATATTGAATTGAAAACCTTTTACTGATTTTTTTTTTTTAAAATGTGTGTGTGAAAATGATCTGGGAAAAAAAGAGCATTTCTGACTTCTGCTTTGTATGCAATAAAGGGATATGCATTAATATATTCATAACTGTGACCAGGCACTGTTTTACTTCCTTAAATACGAATGGTCAATAAATATAAGCATGTATCTTGTTCCTGTTGAAATTCACAATATGTAAAAAGTTTTCGACTGAAGCATAATTGTTTCAGAGATTTAGAGAAACAGAATATCTGTTCCCACTATCACTACAAGCTGTGCTATGTTAATTTCTGAGTCATGTCTCTTTTAACCATTGTGTGTCTTGCAACTGTATTTCCTCTTTGGGGGAGAAATTTCTTGGTGCATAAATAATGAAGACAAAATCTCTTTCTGATTTGCATGTAAGCTATCATTTCATACTAACTGCATGTGATATGCATGGGTATCAGATTAGTCAGGGATTGGTGTCCTCTACTGTGACTGACTTACTCCTCTGAAGTCTCCACTTTCCATCTACATGCTCATCAGAAACATGCCAAACTCAAGTTTCTGTAACAGCTTAGTGACACATACGTTATATTTGAAGTGCCATAGGTTGTAAACTGAACATCATGTAGAAAAGAATTATCAAAATGCCAAAACAGTGCTGAAACCAAATAGTTAACATTTGCCTGGATAAATACAAGCATTATTTTTATGATATGTCAGATACGCTAGAGGGAGGAGCAAAAAGAGTAGTCCGGAGTACATTTTATTGATATTGTTATGGGGTAATGTAATCACACTGAAATGGTGATCTACATGGCAACTGAGATATTTTTGTTGTTTACAGAGAGAGGTTGCTTTCTTAGGGCTTGAGTCTTAGAAAAAAGACACAGTGTTTTTGTATTGACCCTGTGGAGAGACAGTAAAAGGACAGGACTACACTAGTACGTCAAGTGCTTTTAAGAAGAAAACCAAAATGAAAACACTGTTTTCAGGTGCAGACCATGATACTGAGGCTGTTGAGCTAGTATTTAAAGATGCCACTTCTGCTGTTTAAATGTAATTTTACAATCACTTAGCCACAAGGAGGAGAGGACAAGAAGCAGGTGAATGAATAAAATAAATTTCTTGCTTCAAGAAGGGTATAGAATGCATGTAATCTATAACATGCATGCAGATTTGAGTGTCATTAATATAGTGACACTCTCAAAGTCTCTTGCTTTTGTTTTAGTCTGAAGGGTAAGCATGTCACAGCTGACAACCCATTTTTTTGCAAGTTGTTAGCTGCTAAGCTAAGTAGAACTGATTGCCTTCTAGAAAAAAATAAATTATCTAAATTTAGATGCTAAGTATCTTCATACCCTTTGACAAGATGAGGGACCTGCTTAATTTCTGTAAACCCAGATCTGTTTCAAGAATGAGGTGCAATAAGGGGTTGTCCTGGTTTCGGCTGGGATAGAGTTAATTTTCTGCCTAGTAGCTGGTATAGTGCTGTGTTTTGGATTTAGCATGAGAATAATGTGGTAACACACTGATGTTTTAGTTGTTGCTAAGCCGTGCTTATACTAAGTCAAGGACTTTTCAGCTTCCCATGCTCTGCCAGTGAGGAGGTGCACAAGAAGCTGGGAGGGGGCACAGCCAGGACAGCTGACCCAAACTGCCCAAAGGGACATTCCATACCATGTGACGTCATGCTCAGTACATAAACTGGGGGAGAGCTGGCCAGGGGGGGCTGCTGCTCGGGGACTGGCTGGGCATTGGTCAGCGGGTGGTGAATGGTTGCATCACTTGTTTTTTCCTGGGTTTTGTTTCTCTCTCTCTTTTTGTTGTTTTCCTCGATTCCCTCCCCCATCCCACCGAGGGGGGAGGGTGAGCGAGCGGCTGTGTGGTGCTTGGTTGCTAACTGGGGTTAAACCACGACAGGGGTCTTTGAAGGTAGGATCTGATCCTGCATTTCTGGTGTATTCTAAACTCCCATTAGAGTAAGATACTGTTTTATGAATTAAGTGGCTTAGGAAGCTTTGGTTAGCAGTGGCATTATTGTAACCTGCAATAAAACTCTTGTGGTATAAATCAAAGGCTAAAACATATCTGTGTTTCTTCAAGCCCTAAGTCTTAAGAGACTGTAGCATCTGCATGGGAAATGTAAATACATATCTGCTTGTGTTTTAATTAGGTTGCTACCCTGTGCTATTAATCGTGACTTCTGAGTATGCATAGCTCTTAGTCTAGTACAAAGCATTTTCAGTTGTAGAATTTTCCAGGGGGGTGATGGTGATGATAAGCTCTTGAGCACCATGCAGTCTTATTCGTGTGTGATGTAGATTTTCCATGTGTAGAGGCTAATGAAATGTTTGCTTTGGCTCTCACACCCATATGTTGATTCTGGCAAGATTTTAATATGCTATGTTGTTAGTTTAACAAAAAAGTGACATCAGAAGAAACCAAACCCTGAATTTTTATATAGCCTTGAGCAAAATTGGCTGTTCCTCTTCCACACCTTGCAGCGTAAGTATTGGCTGCCTCTTTTAGAATAATGGTGCCTGTTTTAGAAGTAGTAAGATCAGCTACTATTTGTAAGTGTAGAATATCCACTGTGAAGTGAACTGTAACTAGTCTGAACAGTTGTAAGATTGATAGAAGGGGAAATGGACAAAGACATCGTTCCCGATAAGAACTTTTGAATCTGAGTAGGACTTTCTGTATTTTGGCTTTGTGACATTTCAGTTTTCGAAAAGCTTAATCAAGGACACGTTTTTAAAATACTTTCAAATTATCTGTAGTAGTTGGGAAAACTAATAGTACAATACTGGCAAAAGAAAGGCAAGTAGAACTACTGAAATAAAAGAAAGAAAAGAGATGCAGACAACTGTATAGGAAATGCAGTTTAAAATGGCTTATTGTTAATTAATTTCTGGGGGAAAGAAAAATTAGGGTATTGCAAACAAAGTGTGCCCAGTATAGAAAAAGGCTGTAAGTTTCACTTTTGAAATCTGAAGTTACTTCTTTAATCAGATATGTACCTGAAATCTCTAATTATATAAATTTATAGAAGTACACTTTATATAAATTTTAAAAGTTAATTGCAATTTTTAATTTTTTTTATTAAGTTCAGCATGACTTCCTATGCTGGTGAAGCAGACTTGTGAATGTATACAAATGGCAATTAGAAAAAGATAATCTTGTTTGAATTGAGCTTTGGCTTCATTGGCTTTGGCTTGCTTTATCAATAGTGTGTACTTTTTGCCCATCTCCACTGGTATTGCATTACACTTATGTACAGGGATACATGAGAATGGTACTTACTGGTTTAGACCTTGCTTAGTTTTTAAGCAAGTACAAGACAGCTATAAAGTAAAGAAAGTGACCAACCTTTTTTCCTATACTAATTCTGAAGTATCTAGTCAATAACAATTAACTCATGTAAAAAATGTTGGTTTTTTCCAGCAAAACCAAGGCAGGTGCTTGTGCCATATCTGCAAATCCACTGAATCTGAAGAGGACAACCAAAATGCAGGGCAGACGGGGAGACAGCAGGAACTCTAGTGACACTAGGGAAAAATTTCTTGTATTGGAAACTGCTGTTTCTGTTTTGTCTTTTGCTTGTCTTTTGCTTGTGACTCGGCTAATCTGCAGGTTCTGCTGTTTAATAATGACTAAAAATTGTAACAACCATCCTGAAATTTGTATTAAACACCAGTCGAAACCACTTCACATAAATTTTGCTACTTCATTTTGATTTGTGGTGTGATCTTTATTCACTGCTCGGATGTGCTCTTTGATCTGTTGACATATGCCTCATTTCCCCTTTTTCCTGTGCATAGTAGACAATTAAGCAGTTTCCACAGGAGTTATATACACAAACATTTGCAGTAAAGTTTGCTGGCTGGGTTATTTCTAGGATTGAAGCAAGAGAGTTTTATTTCCTTCTGTACAGAACAGATTGCTTTTTCTTTTTGTGTGAATGCAATGAATTGTATAGATGCTAAATTAATATAGTGGTATTGGCTGTATTTTTTGATTATTTTAAGCCAAATATACCTTAGGGTATGCTCTGTTTGTAATGGCAGTGATAATAGTAGACAGTTCATACATAAACCATTTCTTCTTCATAGAGCATCTTCATAATGGGTGGTTGATCAACCTTGGAAATAAACCATATGTACACATTATAAAAATATTAAACATTGCTATTGTTAATAATACAGGTCACTTTGCCTTTCAGTATCTGTAAACTTCTCTCCATGTTTGGAACAAAGATTGGACATGAGGGGTTTTTTCCATCAGTTACGTGCCAGTTGAGAATCAGCCAGAAATTGGACAAGTCTAAGTCTGCTAAACGCAATTACAGTTAGTATATAGTTAGTAAGAACTACATGGGTTGCCATGGGCATCTTAGCAGGTTCTTTGTCGTACCTGCTGGTCCAGGCATATAGGTCGTGCCTGGGCTGGGCTTTGAGCTGAGAAGGGAACTTCTCTGTCCAGTGACCATCCTCCACCCTTTGCTAGTACCAGGCAACTCAAAGAAGAACTTGCCTGATTTGAAAGCAAGAGCCATACAGACAGGAGGGGAGGAAGATAAAGATGCAGCTCAGGCAGACAAGAGAATGAGTGAGTGTTTCATCTGGGAACTAGGGTAAGAAGGAAGCTTGGATGGACTGACAAAGCAAGAATGAGATGCAGAACTGAACAGCAAGCTGAGGAACAGAACGCCATGGGCACCATATAGGGAGATGATGTATAACAGGAGACAGTGTGGCAGGGTGAGGACATTGGGCCTAGAAACGAGTGAAATGAAATGGAGGAGGCAAGAGGGAAAAGGGGACTGATCTCTCACAGAAATAGGGTGAAATCTGGGTAAACAAACAAATTGGGGTAAGGATTGGAGGTGGAAAGACCTATCTTCAAAGTCTTTTTCTCCCAGGTGGTACTGTATTTTCACATCTTAGTGGAATATTATAGACTTTGTCTTTCATCCATATGTGCACAATCTATTTCAATTTATTACAAAGATGGAATGTTTCATTTGTTGTAGTTTATATGTGCTATGCACATGTTTGCAACAGTGCAGGCAGGTTTATGATACACCTGCTTTTGCTTTTTCCTTAGGGAACAGTGTTTTTACCTTCTTTCAAGTAGAACGCTAGTGACAGAAGCTACACTCCTAACCTCCTGGGAAGCAAATACAAAAGAATAACAGAAGTGTCGGCATCCTGATTGTGTTCAATCAAGGTAGGACAATTAAATTTACTCCGTATGTTCTGATGTTGTCCCATTTAAATCAAGACCATAGCTGCAGATTATCACCTTGAAGTGCCTCCCAATCTCAGTTTCTGTTATACTTGCATCTGTTCAACAGAACTTAAATGAATTTGTATAAACTAGAAATACAACTTAAAAGGAAAATAGCAGAATAATCTTTAGGCTTTATCTGGGATTACAACAGTTTAGAGAAGGAATATGTTTATTATTTTAAAACACTCTCATGGTCGCAGAGGAGCGCTCATCCAAGAGGCTGAAAATTTAGGTTATTTGAGGTATAATGTACATCATCAAGAATATTAAATGTAATATCCATGTTACAAAGCTTCATATACTTAATGTTAGCCAAAGGTATCTTGTCAATTGTTACTGTGAAAAAGGAGTTAGCACCAAGATAGTCCCATTTTCAGAGGCTGTCTTATTGATCAGGTTACTACAATTTTGAAGGGAACATGAAAGATTAAGAAAGCAAGTGAATTAGTTTAATGATGGGCAAAACCCACTGATAACATATACAATTTAATAAATGCTCAAAGAATAATCTGAGCATTCCTGTGTATTGATACTAAATGAACTTTGAAGTTCATTAAAAACACAGACTTGGTGTATGCTGCTAGTTATAAAAACAACCAAAATGTTAAAATTTATAATTATTATATAAAAATAGGACACTATATGGTTATAAATGTGATGTAAAAATAGAATGCTCTATAGCTACTGCATAAATCCTGTGTATAGTCTTCTCTGTAGTGTGTCCTGTTCAACTAGAAAAAAGATGCCGTAGAAATAGGTGGTGAAAGTTCCTAGAGACATGAAAAAACTTCATATGAAGGCAGGTTAGGGAAATGAATGATAGACAATGAGAGGATTGCATATAACGTTATGCTTTAGTATTTAGAAGGTCTAGTTTATCCCTTTACATGATACAAAAAGCAAGGTAAATTAGTCAAGTTGGCAGACAACGAACCTACATTGGTAAATATATACAGTGTGCCTTATAAAAACACAAGGAATCACAATGTTCACAAGGCTAAAAGATTGGTGAGTTACCAAAAATGGGTTATATTAGATTTTTCCATTTTTATTTTCATATGTGTGAAAGGGAAAATCTGCATATTTACTGTTTAAGATTTTAAAATGCCTCCAATAACCCCAACAATCCTACAACCTCTCTCATTACCTTTTGTGAGATCCTAACGTTGCTCAGCAGTAGAGCTGGAGAATAAACCTGAATACAAAATGGGTCTAGCAGGCACAGTTTACTGAATTAAGAGAAGATAGAGGGGAAAGAAGTAGGAAAAAAGAGAACATGCTAATTGGCATGACAACATGTAGTCCTGTAGCAATCATACAGCAGTTAGTATTTTATATAGAATGACAAATTCAGTACAGCGCCTGAGAGAGAGGGAGAGACACATCAGTCTTGCCACTCTTTCCTGTCACTTGCGACAATATCACTGTAAACTGGCATTTGGACAAGCCAAAAGCCAAAGAATAAAAGTAATTGGTTTGCTAAAAGAGCATACAATTGATTAATTACACTTGGGTCAGACTGGCTGTATTGGAGGGTTTCACTGTAAAGCCAACATTCATTTTTTCTTTCTTTAGTGTCAGGCACACTCTAGCCTGCATTTCCTTCCAAATAACAAGTGCTCTTTAAATGGTGGAGCTGCATTTTTGAACTTGAATAAAAGGGTTGTTGTGCAGCGTAGGATTTAGCAGATGGGCTTAGAGAATCCGAACCTACCACTAGTCTTCTATTCTACACTAGGAAAAGCTTTGCCATTTTTAATGGCTCTGTTTGCTACATACCCTGTTAAGCACAGTAGTCAGATGTCATTCTGAGGAATCGGGCAACTTAGTTTCCAATGACGTTGATTACACTCAACAATGAGAGGATGAGAAAGAGTGGTGGGTGGAGAAGTGAAAAGACAGTGTGAGGCATTTCAAGGAGGAGGTTTGCACTCCAGCACTTGCACGTGGGTGACAATCCCTCTGAGAAACAGTTTTTACTCTGAAGTGGAGCAGAGTTGAATCTTTGCGCTCACTTCGGCTTTAATCGTCATCCCCACAAACTACCAGTGTAGCCTGTAGTTAAATGTGCATTTACTTAAAATGAAAAGAAAATAACAGTAGCAAGAGGGTTGAACTCAATGATCTTAGAGGTCTTTTCCAACCTTAATGATTCTATGATTCTAAGAAGCTGCATCTTTAGAATGGAGCTGTGATTTCACAGAGAGAGACCCTGGCATGTTAATCCCTGGCATAAATGGGTGTAATTCTCAATGACAACGCTAAGCCTGTTGACACAGGGGCTGAGCTAAACCCAAAGATGAGCCACAATGCTCTTCAAAATCAATCATTTAATCCTTTTTAAATTTTTGTGATCTAATAACCAAAGATGTTTGTGTTAATAAAAGATGGTGTGACAAAGCTGTGATTGTCACTGAGCATGACTTGCTTTGAGATAAAAATTATGACACACTCATAATCTTATTTTAGATAAACATTTCATCTTGTTATTCAAGAGCGTTTACTAGTGAGTTGAATAAATACTCGGTGATAGTTACCAAACTGTGAAATAAGGTCTTTTTTTTAAATTGGAAACAGTCTGAGCTAGCTTATACAAAGAAAGAAGAACAAAATCACGCTGGCAATAAGTCTACATTTTATTTTACTGAAGTTTACAAGGAATCAATATAATCAACAAGAACCTTGGTTTTAGTTTCTTTTTATTTTGCATGTACTTATTTTAAAAACAAATGGAAACATGAAAAAAGGAAACTGCATGGCAGACAGTCTGCAAAGCATGTAAGTATTATTATAACACTTAAGATATTTAACAAATTACTAAACCACACTCTTTTCTTCTTGCACCAATTGGCTTGAGACAGAGTATATGAAACAGTAAATATTTCTTTTACTTTGAAACAATTAATGTTAATAAAAGGCCTCAGGGTTAAATCTGAAAGAAAAAAACCTTTGAATCTTTGACCCAGATTCCCAATGTCCTTTATGTCAATGTCAGTCCAGAAGACTCTTAAAAGTCTATGGAATCGCTTCAAGATCTAGACTAGTTGCTTGCAATTAGAATCCAGATTAACTGATGCCTAATATTCCTTGTAAAAATAAAAATGCAAGCATAGAAGTACAAAAATATTCTGTCAGTAAGAACATCTACATTAATCATTAAAAAATTGAATTCAAAATCAATTGCACAGAGACAATAGCTTTGTTCACTACTCTTACTTTGTTTAAGGGCTGAAATTTGTTTTGGGTTTACGATGCTCACATATCTGTGTTTATATTTTAGCATAGGATATTCAGAATTTTTTATCCTACAACATTCTCTAACGGGTAGTCAGTATTATGAAACTTGACAACCAACCAGATAAGCATGGTTGATTAAGATAAGTGATTTACAATAAAATGCTTAAGACATGTTCATTTTTGCTATGTTTCTCTCTCAAATACTT